CAAAGGTGAGTTGATTGATGGATCTATCAAGTGGGAGCATGCCTGACCTATATACCCCAGTGGGTGGCAAATGTGGCGCTGCCAATCTTCAACATCGGCTTTGCAAAGCATTGATGTGCTACCTTCAATACGCCTGGCTCTTCACGGTCAATTGATCCGGTATCAAGATCGCGACATTCTGTGGCTGCCGCATGAGTATCGAGGAAGCTGCTCATCTGCTTACCTAAATACACTTGTTATTAGTCAAGCGTCCGGGGCCATGTCCTTCCTCAGACTTGACGTAGAGTTGCAGACATCAGAGTAGACTTCAACTAGAGAGTGTGTCACTAGACAGGCAGGTCTACGAGAAGGCACGATGTTGATGATGGGTCATAGTCGCTTATGCGGCCACACGCCCCATCATGTGATATTCGTTGAAATCCATATCACAGTCAAGATTCTGCAGTAATATGCAGAGTGCGCTTAAGTTTCGCGTCCAACTGACGTACTCGGGCCCGTTTCGGCCGGACTGCGAGAGCAGCGAGACAGACGAGATGTGGCGCGGCTCACGATGGCTCGAGTCACATGATGTAATTGCCTCGGCACGCGGGGAAGGACGTTAGAGCATGATATTTTAAGGGAGTAGATTTTCTCCGCCACAAAGGACGTGCTGATTCAACGTCTCGTGAACTTGAATTCGTCAATCATGAAAAGACTTAGGCACGTAGCCTACGATCCCCGTGCTGACTAGGCCCATGCACAAATGTGATGATTTTTTTTCCTTCACACATACGTAGGAGCAGCTCTCACGATAGTTTTAGCACCTCTTGCTGAACCTTGCTTGCAACCAATCTTGAAGTTCCAGCAATCAAACGAATAAGGTCCTCGATGCTTTTGGACTCGCGGATCAGCAGGAGAGAGAGGTCAGCGGAAAGTTTTGCCACGATCCAGTTGCGGAACTCGACTGCTACCAAAGAATCAACGCCATATGCGTCCAGTGTCCGGTGAGGCTGAATGTTGTCGACGGGAGTGACGGTCAGTTTGCTTAACTCGACCAGTACAGCACTCTTGACGGCCTCGAGAGCTTCCTGTGCAGTCTTGGCACGCTTGATCTGATCTAGCAGATCCGCGTCGCCGCCACTATCGTCCGACGAAGCATTCGCTGAAGCCGAGTTCTGAACCAGATGTGCAAGTCGGCGTTGAATTAACCATTCAGCTTTGTTCTTGCCGACTTCGGGGATCAAACCGATGCTAGCTTGACTTTCCGCTCCGCTCGAGGAGAGGACATAGTCGAGGGTTGCAAGAAGCTCGGCGACTGTAATGGTAGTGAAGCCCTGGCGTTGCATGATAGTCAACGCCGCTGGAGTCTCACTGACAAAGCCAGCATCGCCAACGACCCCAACATTGATCGAATACCCGGCTTGGCCTCGGCTCCGTCGGTAATGGGCGAAGGCATCCTGGAAAGTACAGGCTGCCGTGTAGTTTGCCTGAGCCTCGTGTCCGCTCATGCCAGCGATGGAGGATAGGGCAACGAAAAAGTCCATGTCGCTTGGCAAGAAGTCGTGTAGGTTCCAAGTGCCGGCGACCTTGGGAGCCAACGCCGCCGTCCACTGCTCATATGTCATCTGTTCGAATACTGTATCCTGTTCGTCGAAGGGCGTCAAGTCAGCGGTGTACTTCCTCCAGCTTAGTGCGTCTCGGCTTCACTGACCTCAAGCGCCATAGCGGCATTAATGACTCCACGAACCGGGCCTACCCTGTCGACGGCGTGCAGGTGCCTGACGACAGCGCCCACCGCCTCCTTGGAGGAGATGTCACAAGCCTTCGCGAGAAGTTTGACCCCTTGCGCGGCGAACTCCTTGATGCATGCACGTGCAATGGGAGACTTATCCCCGGATCGCGACAGCGTAACGATGGTGCGCGCACCTCTCGCGCTTAGCCAGCGGATAAGACGTAGGCCTAGACCTCCGAAGCCACCCACTAAGATATACGTGGCCTCGGGCTGTAGCTTGGGGATGCTGGTGGCTGCCGGAAGTGCCTGCACACACAGTCATGTTAGTAACCTTCTAAGCTTGGGCGGGAATAGAGGGAGCATGCACGTACCGGCACTTTTTCCTCCTGATCCATAGTCAACACGACCTTGCCAATGTGCTTGCCGGCCGTGAGCAGTCGGAACGCACTCTCGATGTTGCCCAGGTTGTACGTTTGGAGACTGACTTGCTTCAATTTCCCCGTCGCGGCCAGGTCGACTACGTTCTTGAGCAAAGTTTGCACGAGGTTCTTGTCCTCGGCGATCATCTGCGTCAAGTCCACGCAAGCAAAGGTAATATTACGTAGCAGGAACTTGGTCGGCATCAGCGCATCGTCCAGGAAGTCCTTTTTGCCAATCTCGATGAAGCGCCCGAAGGACGCCATACACTCTAGGGACTCTCGGAACGATTCACCACTCAATGAATTCAACACGACATCAACGCCCCTTTGGTCGGTCGCAGCACGGAGCGCCGGCCCGAAGATGGTCGATCGGCTGGTGAAGATGCGACTGGGCGGCACTCCAAGGCTTTCGACGTGCGCGCGTTTCTCCGGTGATCCGCAAGTGGCATATACAACGGCGCCGAGATGCTGAGCCAGGATAACCGCTGCTTGACCAACGGCGCCAGCAGCGGCGTGGACCAAGATAGATTCTCCCGTCTGCAGCCTGGCCACATTGACTAGCGAGTGGTATGTCGTCGCCCAAACAATGGGCAGAGATGCGCCTAGCGCGAACGAGACGTTGTCTGGGATGCGGGTGCACACGTCGCCATGAGCGATAGGATAATTGTTATAGGCCTGAGCGTGGTAGCTGCACACCCGGTCGCCAACCACGTATCGCGACCTCATGTCGCTGCCCACTTCAAGCACCGTGCCGGCGCAGTCGTTCATCATGCTTGCCGAGGCTCCAAGCTCGCCGGTGGCGATGAGCACGTCGCGGAAGTTGATGCTGCCTGCGCGAGCCTCGATGCGGATCTCGTCCGGCTCCAGGGCACGCGCGCTCTCGTGGTCATCCACCCATCGGAACGTCTCCAGCAGCCCTTGGACCCCGAGCTCGACCTTAAGTGGCCTCGAGCGGTCCAGGAACATCGTCGGCTTCGGCTTGGCGCGTGCCATGGATTGTTCAACGTATCGCTCGAGCTCTGGGTTGTTGAAGAGCCGGTTGACATGGATTTGTCCATCCCGTTCGGCGAACTCGCAATCCACCTTGGCGGTCGGGCGCTTGAAATCCATGGTCTCAGAGGTTAGGAGCTGCGTTAGCAAGTGACTCAATCTTTCGTTGGCGCCGTAAGGGACGCTCGGATCAAGATCGAGCGTAATGTAACGGGTGTTTGGTTGTTCCAACCTCATGGACCGAGCGAAGCCGAGCGTCAACGCTCCATTCGGCACGGGAGTCTTTCCTGTAGCGCCTCGTGTGATGAACAGCATAGCCTTGCATGACAGTGCGCATCGCTGGAATGCCTGCCAAAGCGCAGCATCCATGCGGCCAGACAGCGCTTCGCACGTGTCCGGACCCAAGATGAGCACCGTACGTGCTATGTCGTGGATGTGCTCCAAACCGCCAATGGTTACCTGGCGCACGGCAGTGCCCAAGCGATTGCGGAGCTGTTCAGCCACGTTTTCAAGGCCCCCCTCCGCCTCAGCGTCGAGCTTGCCGCTCGCGAAGTGAAGCGAAAGTTCACTCAAATCCGGCTTATGCTCTTCCGGAGTCTTGGCGAGGATAACGCTGATGGATCCGCCCTCTGAGGCGGCGTAGTCGGACACGAAGACTGGGTCCGGTTGAAAGCCCTGTTTCTCGAGTGTCTGCTTCCACTCGTTCTCGGAGAGAATGGCTGAAGTCACCCGACCCTCGCTGGCGCCCGCCCACCATCCAGACAAGGAGCCAAAGATGAGGTTGTAAAACGGCTCGAGCTTGGTGATTTCCATTAGAATCAACGTTCCACCCGGACGAAGCAGCTGACGGAGGTGCTCCAAAGAAGTCGCTATGCTGGGGGTGGCGTGGACGACATTGCATGCGATCACAATGTCGTAGCTTCCGAGTTCGAAATCCTGGGTCTCAGGAAGCTCCTGTAGGTCAAATGCTTTGCAATCGACGATGTGGGAGTATTCGGCCAATTTTTTGGTGGCGGCAGGGAAGAATGCCGTGGATATATCCGTGAAGTCGTATTGTGCGACCAGTGGATTGCCCTCATGCGACATTGCCTGCAGCAAGGGCAGAGTGGCAGAGGCTGTTCCACCGCCCACCTCTAGTACACGGAGAGATGGGTTGTGTAGGCCCATCGTCTTGCAGTACGCGTTGATCTGCTCATAGCAGCGCTGGTTCCGAGGCTCAGAATACAACCTGCCGAGCAGATCGTTCGGAGTCAGGAGGGCTATGGGATTTGCGGTGCCGACGAGCAAATCCTGCAGTTTGTCGCCAATGATCTTCACGGCTTCGAAAAGGGCGATTGACTCGGACATCTTCACGTCTTGCTCCTCCACTGCACCTGACTCGATGGGATCAAACGGAGTAGCCATCAAGGTTTGCATCCACGCGTACCACAACTGTTGATAGCCCGCCGCGACTTGGTGTGTCTGCACCTGGTCCAGAGCCCGCTTCACGTGAGCGCGGACCTCAGCTGTAAGCGCATCGTTGACCTTGCGGGCGGACTTGACAGACAATGCCGAGTTGCACGTTTCTACGATCTGCGCCTGTGTGCTGCTCGGAAAATGACTCACCCACTCTGGGCTGTGAGCCAACTGTCGTGTTGTCTCCATCTTAACACTCCCGGGCAATTCTGCCAGATTCACCCCATGCACGCTCATCATAGGCTGGTTCTGCGACTCCACCTGGACGTCCCAGCTAGTACCCTTCTCCGTGGCCAGGGCATATGTGACCAACTCGGCTCCGGCTGAGACTTCGAAAGCCGTCGAGATGACGAGTGACCGGATAAAAGTAGGCACCACGGGTGTCTTGCCTTCTCGTTCGACTAGCAGACTGGCGCAAATGCCGTGGAAGAGGGTAGAATCAAGCATCCCAGGGTGGACGACGTACGGCGAATCTGCAAAGGGATGGGTCGAGGCCTCCAGACTTGGCATCTTATTCTTTGTCACGGAGGAATCTGATCGTCCCTGCAAGTCCACCACGTTATCGAAAGGAGCGTACCATTCCATCCCGACCTGGCGAGCGGTTGAGTAGAAACGAGTCGAGGTGATGTGATGCGACAAAGCAGCGACACTGTGCTGCTTGACTTCGGTGATGTCGTGTAGACGATCTGTAAGCATAGTACTATCAGTGACGGCACGGATGCGACCACGACAATGCTCAGTCCAGCTCGCGTCGGATTTTATCGAGAAGACTCGGAACTCTTTCCACTCCTGGAACGAAGCCCTGGCGCTGTGGGTTTCCGGGCGCAACGACAGGCAGATCTCGCGGTCCGTATCGTTCTCCGAGAGCACCAGCGCACGAGAAAAGCTACAGTTACTGAACGAATAGCCGAGAACCGTCTTCGACTGGCCGTCGGTCTTGAAGGCAGCCTGTCGGCGCATCGCCTCGAGCGCCATCGCAAGATATCCAGCCGCGGGGAAAACAATCTGGCCCTGCACCATGTGGTTCTTTAGCCAAGGCAATTCTTTAAGTCGCAGGAAGCGACGCCACTTCGGCTCGGTATGGTTCACGTCGGCGGACAGGTTACCCAGCAGCTCATGCGGCAAGAATTGACGATGAGTGAATTCGCGAGAGACGCGGCCTCCGTGCCAATATTTATTCTTGTGGTTGAAGGCATACGGCGGCACATCGTTCAAAATTTGAAGTGGACGGGACCGGAAGCCGCCATTCGCGTGGTGAAGGTCGACTGGCGCTCCCATGGTGCAGAGGTCGGCGAGAGCGCGCAGCATGCTCTCCGCCGCGCTGGACTTCCTGTTGAGACAAGTCGCGTAGTGAGCACGTATCGAAGATCCCAACTGTTGCAGCGTTTCCTTGACTGCGCCCTGCATCTGCGCGTGAGGTCCTACTTCCAGAAGGAAATTGACGTGGTGTGCCGAGTCATGCCGTCCGTCAGGCTCGCTGCCTTGCATCATACCTCGCAAGGCTCCTGCAAATAGGACAGGCGAGGTCAGGTTGCGTGCCCAGTAGTCTGCATCGACTAGAAACCCAGCGGGCAGCTTTTTGCCTGTCAACGACGACATCATCTGCCCGGCCAGTGGGCGTGGCTTAATGCTCGCTATGGCTGAACGGTACTCGTATTCTATGCTATGCATCATTGCGGAATGGTACGCAGCTCCTTTTGTCTTAAGCTTGCGGTTGAAAATATTATCGTCCTGAAGTAGGGCTGCGACAGACTCAATACCCCCGTTACTGCCCGACAGCGTTACGCTCCCGGGGCTATTGTAGCATGCGATCTTCACATCGCTGGTGCCCGTGCTCTTTATCCGCTCCACGTATGCCTGCGCTGTGTCAGCAGACGTGCCGACGGCGAGCATAGCTCCCGAAACGCCAGTGGAGATCAATTGAGACGTCAAACGCCCACGATGGTACGAGACAGTCAGCGCGTCTTCGAACGAGAGAGCATCCACAGCGTAAGCTGCAGCAATTTCGCCGCTGGAGTGGCCCACCACCGACGTAGGACGCTGGCCCAGAGCAGTCAGCGTGTCAACTAGAGCTAACTGTATGGCAGTCGAAAGCAGCTGGCCATATTCCGGTTCGTCCACATGTGAATCGTGGGGTTTGTCATGGCTGAGCTCGGTCAGCACGTTCCAGGTACAGCCAAGCGTTTGCAGATGGGCGTTGGCCCGCTGCAGAGACTGGCGAAAAGCGGGCCAATCCTTGATCATCTCCCGGCCCATATTATGGTATTGGGCACCCTGGCCTCCGAACACATAACCGACGCTGCAGTCTTTAAATGGTGCTCTGACCGCTGTGGGCGTTTGTTGTACGATGTCGAGCTGTGCAAGTAAATCGTCGAGGTCATAAGCCACCACGGAAGTACTCCTGTCATGAACAGTGCGCTTGTTGATTGTTACGGCCAAGCGATCCATAAAGTCATCGGCGTTGTCCCACACAGCGGCCGACAGCTTTGCCAGGTACTGTGCTAGTCTTTCCGCGTTCGTATGACAGCTATACTCCTCGGCACCGCTCAAGATGAATACTCGCGGTCGGTCCGTGGCCTCATGCGACTCGTTAGAGGGCGCTAATGGGGCCAAGCTACCTCCAATATTGGTGTGTCCAATTGTGTCATTGATGCCATTGCTGCTAAGAACGCCATTGGTGCCATTCAGGTTTGCGCCGCCGGATCCATTTATGCCATTTGTGATCTTAACACCGTCCAATCCATTGGTGCCGTTGGTACCGTTGGTTCTTTCGATAGTTTCAGTCCCGTGTGTGTCTCTGATGCCATTGTGTCCATTAACATAATGGCCCTCATTGGTGCCATTGATGCCATTGGTGCCGTTGATGCCGTTGATGCCGTTGATGCCGTTGATGCCATTGGTGCCGTAGATGCCATTGGTACCATTGGTGGCGTAGTCAACATCAAGCTTTCGAGTGCCGGTGAGGCCGTTGCTGGAATGGCGTTGCTCATGTAGAAGATCAACAATAACGTGAGCGTTAGTGCCACCGTATCCAAAACTATCAGAGCTAGTTAGCCCCCGCCTTTCCCAGAGGTGGGGAGGTCTCACCTGTTGAGAGAAATTCGTTCGAGAGCTCTCGGCTCCAGCGTGGTCGGTATCTGTGATGTGTAAGCCGGGGCCGCGGCCACCTTGTGATAGTACGTTGGTCCTTTATACCTTCAAGTTCCAGCTTTCGAGCGGGATAGCCTTATTTGGGCTTTGATAATTGACTTGCGGGGGTATAGCTTGATTTTCGAGCATTAAAATGCACTTAATCAGCCCTGCAATACCAGCGGCACTCTCGGTGTGGCCAATATTTCCCTTAACAGATCCAATGACCAGTGGCCCTTGGCTTGATTTTCGGGGCAGAGCGAGGACGTTAGCGATTGCCTGAGCCTCGATAGGGTCGCCGACCGCTGTGCCAGTCCCGTGGGCTTCGACGTAGTCCGTTCCAGTTGGGTCAAGCCCCACCTCTGCATATGCCGCGCGGATTACTTCTTCCTGTGCCTCTCCACTAGGCACACTAATGCCTTGGGGTGTTCGACCGTCTTGGTTCAACGCTGAATTGCGAATAACAGCCCGGATTCGATCGCCATCTTTAAGCGCCGAAGAAAGTGGTTTTAATACGACACAACCACAGCCCTCCCCTCTGCCATAGCCGTTGGCGCGCTCGTCAAAGGAAAACGAGCGACCTTCTGGTGAGAACATCTTTAACTTGCTTTGATAAGTAAAGCGCTGAGGATCCAGTAAGAGATTGACCCCAGTGACGACGCTCATTGTACTTTCGCCACTTCGTAAACTTTGGACAGCGTTGTGTAACGCGACGAGGCTTGCAGAACAGCCGGTATCGACTGTGAAACTGGGACCCCGCAAATTAAAAAAGTACGACACGCGGTTGGACGTAATAGCAGGCCCAATGCCAAGGGTATGGTAGAGCTCCTGGTATTCTGGATCTCGCGCCAGGATTTCGCTGTAGTCAGAACTCCACTGACCAACATAAACACCGGTACGAGAGCCCCAAACCTGGCGAAGTGTTAAGCCGGCATTTTCGAATGCTTCGTATGCCAGCTCCAACGAAAGGCGTTGTTGAGGATCCACTGCTTGAGCCTCTACAGGTTTGATCTCGAAAAAGCTGCAGTCAAAAGCGGCGATGTCTTGGTTCAGGAAATGGCCTCCCGTGGTGTTGGTCGTACCAGGGTGAGCATTTCCACTATGATGGAAGGCTTTCATATTGAAACGCTCCTCGGGCACCTCGCTCCATGCTGATTTTCCTTCGGACAGGGCATCCCAAAGACGGGACGGCTCTGAAGCGTCGCCGGGAAAACTGCAGCTTATGCCAATGACGGCGATAGGTTCTGGGCTCGTTGGGGAAGCCATGTTGTTCGCGTTGAGTTGAGTGTGCGACTCTCATGACCCGGTAGAGACGGTGCAGTATTGATCTCAACAGGCTAGAGGCTCAACTTAAGACGTAGACTGAGCGTCGAGCACAGGCGATCCTGAGAGTTATTCGTCTACGCAAATGTTCATAAAAAGATCAATATTGGCCCTAAAAATAGCATGTTTTACCCAGCCTTAGTACGTAGTCGCGATTATTTGATAAGCTGCAATTGAAACGAGGTGCTTACGGGTGCTTATCAGCTCGTGAACATTGCATAGTCACTCCGTACAGCTTAGTGTAAACATCGCATCTGCAAAGGCGAGAAGTTGCCCCTATAGTCTTACGTAATATGCCTCAGTCACTAACGGAGTATTTTGTATCATACTCGATGGCGCATTGGAAAAAAAAGACACGAACATAGCGAGTAACTCAATTTTTGGAAATCAGTCGTATCACGGTGCATTACACGTCTGCCTGCGGCCGCGACGGCCTCTGCAGGTCGCTGCGCGACCCTCCGTGCCAGAATGACCCCTGCAGAGTCACCGTCGCGGTCGCAATAGGCATGGTC